GGGAATCTGTTTAATTTCTGCCTCCACCGTGCAAATCTGTTTTCTGAGAGAGCTGAGTCTCAATCCCTTTGCTCCCTGCTGTCCAGACCTAACCAGGTGCCTTTCTTTAAATACACGCTCAAACCCTCTCTGCTGAGTGAATGAAATTATTAAAGAAAGACTATTTCAGAGTACCCCATTTTTTCTTCACCTATGGCAGAAATCTATTTCATTCATTTATTCAATAAAATGTTTTGAATTCCTCCAATGTGTCAAGGCCTGTGAGAATTAAATGATAAATCAGATAGAGACTCTTTCCTCAAGGTCCTTAGCAGTCACTGAAGAATGAAAGATATGTATTCAGATCACTATTACAGGAGCCTACAAAAGAAACCGCACACTTTTTTTTGTTACTGTGATTGGGTTTCAGTCCTCTGCAGTTGTCAAAGTGCCTGCTCCTGTCAGAAGATGTTAGGGGACCTCCAGAGTCAGCTGGACTTGAAGCCTCTGGTTCCATCACAGCGGCCTGGCTTGACAGCGTCTAAACTACCCGGGCAGCAGCCTCCTGATCTGAACACTGGTCAGTTTTCGAGGGGAGAGAGGATGCTGTCTCTACATACAATGTTGGTAGCAGGCTACTACAGGTCCCACAACACTAAAGAAGACACACAGATGGCAAATAAGCACAAAAGGATACTGAGCATCATTAACCATGAGGGAAATGCAAATTAAATCCACAATGAGACGGCACTACACAGCTATCAGATGCCTAAAATAAATAACGACACCCCTAAATGTGTGTGTGCAGGTGGGGAAACTGAATCAGGCATAGAGCGCTCGTGAGGATGAGAAATGGTGCCGCCACTTGGGAAAACAACTTCTAACAGTCTCTTTAAAAACAAGACACACAGCAACAACAGCTACACCACCACCCAGCATTTGCCCAGGGAAGTGAACACTTGTGTTAACACAAACACCTGCACGCACACATCTGTTGCCGCTTGGTTTCTAAGAGCCCCAAACTGAAGACTGACCCAGACGTCCCTCCACAGTTGGTTCAGCAAACTGTGATACATCACCATCATGGAAAACTGCTAAGGGTTACAAAGGAACCAGCTATAATACCCACGACAATTCTGATGAATCTCTACTCATGCTGAGTGCAAAAGAGCAAACCCCAAATGGTTATGTAATGTATGATCCCACTGACACAACATTCCAGAAACAGCAAAATTAAAGAAATGGGGAACATATCACAGGTTTCCAGGGATTGAGAGATGGTAAAGTGGGAGGGAACTCTGTGCGGCTGAGAAAGAGAAACATGAAGGATCCTCAAGGGGATGTTCTGTGTCTTGACTGTACCCATGTTAACATCCTAGTTGTGATACTGCAGTAAAACCTAGAGAGAGGTTACCATTGGGGGCAACTGGGTAAAAGGTTATAGACGCTCTTTATTATTTCTTATAGCTGCATTGCACTGTATCTCAAAATGAATAGATTGATTTTTAAAAGTCAAAAGATGGAGGCAAAATCTGGGAAACAAGTATGTCAGTTGGTCAGTTACGGCATGAGCCTCAGAACCCTGACATCACAATGGCCAGAACCCTGCCTGCAGCAGAAGCGCAGGCTTCCTGGAGGAGTTCACAGCACTCTGCCAAGTGCTGGAGACACACTCGGTTTTCACAGAGAAGAATTAAAAAGACAGGATGTTCACGGCAAGCAATGAGCTTGTAGGTGATCATTCAAGGTTTCACTGTATAAGGTAATCTTTTAATACACTATTTTGTCAGTGTTACCATTCCATTTCTTAATTACATTATATCCTGTGCAACTTTTTAATTGAAGTGGAGTCAGTTGACAGAGCTGTGTTCGTTTCTGGGGTACAGCATAATAGTGCGGTCATACATACACGTACAGACACTAGTTTTGATTATCAGAGCAGACTGGTGGTCCTAGGAGGTGCTTTGTTGCACCTCTAAAATATAGGAACTCCTTTTCACCTTCAGCACTGGTTTCATGAAAAGCTACCTGTGTCCGTAAGATTCAGCGCTGCTGAGCACAAGGCAGCAGGCTTGACGTTCTTGGTTGGGGATGGGGCTCACTTCCTTGACTTCCTGGGAAAGAATTTTCTGTAGATTTACAATAATGTCTGGTCTATGTATCAGTTTTTAAGCTCAGTTCAATTCAGGTGTTTCACCTATTACGACCGGAAGCTCTGTTAGAGCTTAGCTGTAGCTTAGCCAAATAACAGCGAAGTACTTCCTCGTGTTTAGAAACATTTTAATGACTCCGGTATCATTTGCTGAACTTTGAGAATGTTTTCCAAAAATCTAAATATTGATTTACATTACAATTTACCAGAATCCTCAGTTATTTAAACTTTTGTGTTGAAAGGAAACCAAACTGTAATTACTTCTCTGTAATCTTCAAATAACTTTATCTATGTTAGGCCAAAAGTTATCCTATTTGGGTTTTCGTAGGTTTTGACTAGTTTTTTACCTTCTTGTAATACACTCTTCACTTAAGTCTCTGTTCCTCTTCCAGTTCACAATCAACTTCGCTCTTTTCTCCTCTTCCCCACCTCTAAGAGCGCCATGCCTTGGCACTTTGTTCCTGAAACTCTTTTCCATCCACATCAACCCCCTAAGTGACCTCATTTCTTTCAATCGCTTTCTGTAACTTACTAACTCCTGATTTGGAACTGTGGAGCCCTGTTTGGGAGATTGAGGCTAATTTTTAGTGTCCACCTTGACATTTAACATAAACTCCATCAGATATGGGACCAATGACTTGCTGTTCTGTGGTGTCTGATGTTTTGCAGGGAAAGCCCTTCTACTGCGGTGGACGCCCACAGGGACAATGCGTCACCGTATGAAGGCACCCAATAGTATTGTGATCATGTTCGGCCCGGCCAAGCTCCAAACAGGCTGGAGGAAGGAGAAGAGGCAACTGTTCCTGTACAGGGATGAACTATTGATCTCGAACACCAAGTACGCACATACTATGCTCTCCCGATAATCATAAAGTTGTATTTATGCTGTTCAACTTAATAATCTGAGTTTACCACCTAGTTTTTCCAATTAGCCATAAGAAGGGTGGGTGAGGGGAACTAAACTTCCATTCTTCCTCAGCTCACCTGCAGTTCAGCTGGAAACTAGGTCATCTTGGGATTTCTACTTCAGAAACCAGCACAAATGGAATAGCTGACTAACTGCTACGTTTGTACTTGGTCGCAAGAAGTAAATTTCAGTTTGTGTGTAATAATAAAGGGGGCTTCAACGTTTCTTTCTTCACAAATGTTTCTCCAGTTGTGAGAGATGCTAAAATTCCGTGAAAATTCTTTTGAGGATTTTGTCATCGTTTTCCTACTACATACATTAGACACTTCTGTTCTCAAGACTTGCAGCCAGATACAGCCTTCAGTTATCACTTCTGATATTCACTAGAATGCTCAGTCAGTTATTTTCTACCGAACAAGTAGTTTAGTTTTTGAAACAGGATCTCCATGATAAACGTAAAGATATTAATACTAGTAGAGGCCCATGAAGAACTTGCAAATGGGGACTGCACAGAGCGGACCCCATCTTTACATATCACTATCCTCAAATTTAGTTAGTAAAGAATACAGAGACAATAAAAGACACATTTTATCTAACTCTCTAAAGATGAAGGTTACTGAAAACTTAGCAGTGAAAGGACAGATACTTATAGAATACTTCCCGACCCCAGCTTCCAAGCATCTCAGGGAACACCTCTACCTTAGAAAAGGGGAAGCTTCCTAGGACCTTATAAACCCCACAGCTCACAGGGCTCACCCTCTGGTATCAAGGTTAAGGGGCAGGAGAAGGGAGGGGCACCTGTCTTGTTAATACATCGTAACAGGGGACACAAGATAGAAATGGAAACTTGAGTCCTCTTCACCCTTCTCTTCCTGAGCCACTTAACATGAGATTCATCCTCTAATTCCTACTGAGAAAATCTCAGAGCAGGTGATTAGATGTGAAGAAACAGTCAGGCCCTAGGAGAATCCCCTAGACCAGAAAGCTTCCTTGTGGTACATTTAAAATATTTCCATGCTAACATCTGGCTTTTTTGATACAATGTCATGAGATTTATCATCTCACTCCCCAAATCAAAGAACAGTCCCATCAAAAAACCTAGTGGCTCTGGGAAAAGAGGAAAGAGGTGGAGGTGGGTACTTCAGGGAACTACAGGACAACACCCATGGATGCCAAGTGGTTGTCAGAACAGGCTCCTGAGTTAGGCTGTCTGGGTTCCAACCCCTTTTTTGTTGCTTTTGGCAATTTACTTAGCCTCTCTGT